AGCTTTCCAAACCTAAACAGTTGGTGGTCATATAGAAATAACAATTATTATATGAGATATATTCTTAGCGAATTAATTGACATTTACATAGACCAATTAATAAAAGGATACGGGCATTATTGTTGCGAGTATAGTATGAGTTGTTATATTGGTTGTATCGCTGGTGAGATTGAATACGGGTCAAATTAACTTTTGTTTATTAATATTATTATCTTATAATATGATTAAACATTGTTTTATAATCTAACAAGAAGGTTAAGACAATTAAATTAAACCTGAAACCCAGACTGGCCAACCAGCAACCCCTAGCCAAAACTACTTAAAGAGAAAAAACCTTATATATTAAGAGAAAAATGAGTGAGGGTAAAATGTCAGAGAATAATTTTATATTTGAGAATTGTGCTAGCTTACCTGCTGATGTATTAAAAGGTATCATTGCATATAAATTAGGGCGACCTGAGTATTTGAAACTAAAACATAATCATATTAAGACATTAAAGAGAATACAACAACGATATAAAATAGACAGAACAGAAACAAAAAGAAAGACAAAGCGCTATACTGTTGAAGATGGTGATGATATAAATAGACACGTAATTGAGTATTACATTTCAAGAAATATACCTTTAAGCATAAAAAGCATCAAAGATATAGTGTTTAATGAAAATGAAAACTTAGATTGTTTGTTAGATGGCATTGAAACCGATAACGGTTATGAAGCAGTGATAATAGTTGAGGTAAATATGTTTGTAAGGTTTCATCATTTCAATTATGAAGACGACCATTTTAACACTTTTAGTTTTTATTTTCGTAGTGATGATGTTGTGGATAATATAACCATAGATAATATAACCGAAGTAATGATAGAGGCACATCAAACAATATACAGATGTATTGATGATGAAAGAAGTAGAATGAATTTTGGAGGAGTACAAAACATAAGGTTTAAACTAATTGTTGATGAACCTGTGTAATTCATAACTAAACCATAATTATATCATTTATATTCTTATATGTTATAATTATAGTAAACTTTTAACCCATAAACATTTCATTAAATGACAAACCACAACAACCGCCCAAAAGCCAACCCATGAAACCACAGAAAGTCCTAACCTCTTTCAATTGATAAAACTAAAAGTTGAAATCTGGAACGAGACAGGGGACCAAATCATCAATTCGTTACCACATCCATATCGTTATTTCATGGCCCCAGAATCAGCCTTTTAAAAACGGATAAGGTGGTACACGTGTTGAATTGTGAAATAAAAAACAGAACAGGCAACCATCAACCCCCACCCCCCTAGAATCAGCCTTTTCTACTTTTTTGGGGGGGTTTGGGGGGGGGTTGGGGGGGGGCGGCGGCCCCCCCCCTTGATGATTGAAAAAGTGATGATTCAATTAAAGGCGCGGGGGGGTGGGGGGGGATGATCGAAAAAGTGATGATTCAATCTGGGCAAAAAGTCTACAAAATAGCGGGGGGGTTTGGGGGGGGCGGCAGCCCCCCCCATGATGATCGAACAATTAGGGGCAGAGAATCTAAAAAGTAGCGGTCGCATGATGATCGGAAAAAGTGATGATTCAATTAGAGGCCAAAAGTCCACAAAATAGCGGGGGGGGTGGGGGGGGGCGGCAGCCCCCCCTACGATGATTGAAGAAGTGATGATTTAATTAGGGCCAAAAAATAATAAAAAAGCAGCGGGGGGGTCATCAGTTCCTCTGCGGCAAGGCCTCATGGTACAAATGAGGATTCAACTACGGGCAAACTAAATCCCTGTAGAGCGAAAAAGTGATGATTCCATCAGGGGCAAAAAAGTTTAAAAAGTACCCATGATGATCGACAAATAAGTGGCAAAGAATCTAAAAAGTAGCGGTCGCATGATGAACAAAAAAAGTGATGATTCAATTAAGGGCAAAAAGTCCAACAATAGCCGGGGGGGGTTGATTTGGGGTTGGTTTAGGGTCGGGGGTTTTGTGTTGGTTTGAGGATAATCTGGGGTTGTTTCGGGTTCGGTTTAGACTTGGTTTAGGTTTGTTGTCGGCTAGTTCAAGGTTGTTTTGGGGGAAATTTAGGCTTGGTTTAGGGCTGGTCTAGGGCTGTTGTCGGCTTGTCGGGGTCGTTTAGGGTTGGATTGGGTTGGTTTAGGGCTTGGTTGGCTTGGTGTCGGCTTGGGGCTGGTTTGGGTTGGTTTGGGGTGAGTTTGATTTTGGTGCAGAGCCCTGACCCTTGACCCTTTCAGAAGTTGACGAATGCTCGGAGGACCGTTTCTTTTTTTGGAGTTGTTTCATTGGCCGCTGCTCAAGCGCCGCTGGTGGTAGTGGCTCGAAGGGTTGTTTCGCTATGATTCATTCCAATACGTTGCGCGACGACATAGACCCTCCGGAGGCGGGGTTCCTCGCGCAAGTTCCCAAAGCTGCTTGACACATTGTGACTGCTTCACTCGTAGCTGTGCCCTCGCCGTGTTCACTCAAGGGCTTTTGGTTGGCTTGTTTTCATGGTCATGTGTGTGTTGGATCAGGCCCGTAAACGATCGGAGACACACAGGGTCAGGGCAGGAGGTTGATCAGCACACGCATATATACGCACTGCTACAAAGCTTGGGTGCCCATCATAGGAACGAGTGTTTTCTGGCTACGGAGAAAGGCTGTCGTCCCAGCAATGCATGGCGCGGGTAGACTGGCGTGGTGACGCGCAGAAGGAGCTGCAGACGCTGTGGCCGGAATTGTCCGCAGATGTGCTGCGCAGCTTTTTGAAAGCTTGGCTAGCGGACGAAGGACGTCCTCGCTTGTGCTCGTTTTGCTCGCCTTTCAATTGCACAGCGACACATGCACGTTATTTGGGTGTTGAGAGAACCCTACGCCGAAGAAACGCGCCGGGTTTTGTTGTGAAGAAACGAAAAAAAATAAGCGGGGATCAGTCACGCCTTTCAAGCCGTCAACGTCTATTGGCCGATTGCACTCGTTCTTACAGGTTGCAAGTCATTGCTGGCAAAGCTGTCGTGCCGTACCTGTGCTTTTGCGACTTGCAAGCCGGAACTGCCAAAGTGTACTTCGCACATCGCGCTTTTACTTAGTAGTTGCGGTACTGCGCCTGTGTGTGCTGCAAAGTTGTCGGAGCTGCCAAAGCGTACTTTGCGTACTGAAGTTTGTGTTTAGAAGTTGGGGCTTTTGAGCCGGAGCTGCGAGGCGCACTTCGCACGCCACTCCCGCACCAAAGTCGAGCCATTGGGAAATGCCCGGGGTCGAGGAAACGCGATGCGGTCTGCAATCGGCAAGATTTTAAAACACTGGGGCTTGAAAGAAAAAATGCGACATTCGAGTTAGAGCTGCTCAAGCTGCCCAAGCTGCCAAGGGGCGCTTTGCGTGCTGAACCTGTGATGACAAGTTGCGACTCCCGGCCGGAGTTGGGCGAAGTTATGGCCTTGAAGCGGGAGCTGCCAAAGTGTACTTCGCATACCGCGCTGTTACGTAGGTTGCAGTGTTCCATTTGTGCCAGCGGGTGCAGCTCTCGAGCCGGGGCTGCCAGAGTGCACTTCGCGTATTGCGCTTGTATCTACCAGCTGCGACTTTCGAGCCGGAGTTGTCAAATTGTACTTCGCGTGTTGCGCTTGTCTTGCAAAGTTAGAACTTTCAAGCCGGAGCTGTCACATCCCGGCGCAAGAGGCTTTCGAGCCGGAGCTGCCGCAAGGCGCCTCGCGCGCTGTGCTTGCATCCAAAAAGGTAACTGCAGCCTTGGAGCCGGAGATGCCCAAGTGTCCAAGTGTACTTCGTGTACTTCACTCGTACCTAAACGCTGCGACTTTTGAGCCAGACCTGCCAACGTGTGACACTTGCGCTTAAAAAGTCGCGACTTTCCAGCTGGCGCGGCCGCAGTGTACTTCGCGTACTGTCTGTAGCCTTGAAGGTGACACTTGCGCTTCGGGCCGGAAGACTAGGTTGTTGTTAGCAAAAGTATTACTTGAAGATAGTAATTTGCTTATCTTAGATGAACCAACAAAATTAGATGAACCAACAAATGATATTGATTTTTTTTGCAATGCTATACTGGAACTGGTGAGCCATAACGGAAAGTTTTTAGACAAAGCTATAACAAGATCCATTGTGATTACAATAATAATAACAAAATTTATATCATAGCGAGCCGGAGCTGCCAAAGTGTGCCCGGATCTGGCAAGGTGGGCTTCGCGTGCTACAGTTGTCTTGAGCCGGAGCTGCCAAACTGCAAAACGCGCACTGCCCGCGGCCTTCGAGCTGGAGCTGCAAACACGTGCTGCGCGCACTGCGCTTGTACTTACATTAGACCTGTAGCACAGCATGAAGACACTTCTCAGCGGGACTCCCAGCAGCGAGACCTAATGCGGGTTTTGGGTCTGACTGCGCCTTGTTGTGGCCCATTGGGGTTTCCAACTTGCAAGGATGCCGCGGCTTCATCAACAAAATTCAACGTGGGCAAGATGACCAGCAGTGGATCGCGTACGGCGCTTGCAGCAGGTGTGAATCTACGTGCACGCGCAGGTGGAAATGGACCGTGTGCCGAGGAGAGCCTGTGGTGGCGCAGTGGCTGTTTCGAGGAGAGCATGGACAAGACGTGCAAGCTGCGAGGGTAGCGCAGCGGTCTCACTCGGCCCGTGTCTCTCTGATGCGCCCACTGCAAGCACAAGCGCAGTTGTTGGCAGAGCAGATTCCCGCCTCAGAGATGCCCACATTCAAGATGCTTCAGCAGGATCACAGGAAGGCCCGCGGGTGAAACGCATGGCCTTCGTTTGAAACACAAGCTTGGCTGAGGCGTCCTTTTAAATTAATAAAGCTGGGAATCAAACTTGTAAGCGGGCATGAGCGTGGAAGCAGGGCAAGAGGTCTGAAGCAAGGCATTGGAAGGACCGTGTGAGAAGTACTTTAGGAAGGCAGCGGCTTCGTTTCCTTCATGCTACAGAGTTTGAGTCAGTTCTTGCTTCGGTTTTCTACTGAGTTATTGAGTTATTGAGTTTGTTCCTCGCGAGGCGCAAGCCAAGGCTATGCCGCACGCCAGCGCAGACGTTGCCAGTGAGTGGCTGTCTGCGCTGAGTCGCTGGGAAGCTGCTGGCGCTGAGAGAAACGCTCACTTCAGCTACCACACTCTGAGCATGGCTGGTGACTTGCCGCTGGCCGTGCTGGCGGACGATGTGGCCGGGCCGGCGCCCGGCAGCTGCATGTTTTGGAGTGTGAACCAGCAGAAGTTGCTCCGACAAGTTCTGGCTTTGAACGAGGGCATTGTGCTGTGCTGCGACTTTACGTATAAGGTTTCCAGTGCAGGCGCGCCGCTTTTTCTTTGTGCTGCTGTTCGTTTGCAGTCCAGCCATGCTTTTGTTTGTGCGTTCAGGAAAGCGCATGTTCATGTCAGTGCTCGGCCGTCAGGCTGGGGGCTGGCAGTATTTGGCGTGGCTTGCAAGCATCTTCCTTCACACTCTCAAACGCCGGCCTCGCAGACGGTCCCAGCTGCATGTTTCTGGGGGCCGAAGGAGGAGCGGGCCAGGTCAGAGGGTTACATGAGTCACGGTCAAAATATGTGCATGGATCGCTTGAGTAGAACGGGGTTGGTTGCAAGCAAAAATTGGCAGAAAGCCATTTTTGAGCTGGAGCTGCGGAAGTGTACTTTGGGTATTAGACTTGCACTTCGAAGCTGCGATTTTCGAACTGGGCCTGCGGAGGTGTATTTCGCGTACCGGACTTGCGGCGCGAAGTCGCGATTGCCGAGCTGGATCGGCGAAGTGCACGTTGCATTGCGCACTTGTGGCTCTATCGCGTATTAGACTCGTGCGAGGAAGTTGCGATTTTCGAGTCGAGGCTGCGGAAGGGTATTCTGAGTATTTTGAACCAGTTGCGATTTTCGAGCTGGAAGCGTACCTCGCGCGCGTCAAGTTGCGATTTCGGAGCTGGAGTTGTGGAAGTGTAATTCGCGTAGTATACTTGCGTTTTTTTTTGCGTATTGGATTTAAGTGAGCTTCGCATGCTGCACTTGCAGTAATAAAGTTGCACTGGAGCTGCGGAAGTGCGTTTCACACACCGCACCTGTGATACAAAGACTGGAAGCAGGATCTGCGGTACTGCGCGCACTTCGCTCGCGCGCGATTTTCCGACCTGGGGGCTGCCGAGGTGTACTTCGCTTTCTTCACTTCCCTTACGGAGTGAAACCCCCCGCAAAACGATAAGCGTGACAAACACCAATGGAGGATAACTAGTGTGGCGCGTGTTTTTTTTTGTAAGCGGGCTGGTCATTCTTCAGGTGGAGCTGCCAAACTTCTGTGTCTGTGAGCCCCGAGTCATGTGTCTACAAGTTCACTTTGCAGCGCACTGCGCGCCACAGTTTAGGATGCGATAGCCGATTGGCCAGCAAGCATCGTTGCCTAGCTTTCCAAGGTCTCCATGCTTTGTAAGCGCCGCAACAAACTAGGGCGCCTCACGTGGCATCAAGTGTTGTTTGTGAGATTAGAGTTGGGCTCGTTGTGCGCCAGGACAAGTCTACGTACATCGGTGCATTCAGCACCTTCTTCCACGAGTGTGAGCTCATCCAGCTGCCTCTGCGGCGTCATCTGCGCTTCGTGTGTTTGGATGGCACGCACGCTGGCTACCAGGCAGCGTGTGCGATGCTTGGCGGTGTGCGTATCTGTAGAGATGTGCGGCACGTGGAGGCAGCTCTACAGAAGGTGCCGCGCAAGATTGCGGAGAAGCAGTATGGCGAGTATCTTTCCGGCGAGGTTCAATTCTCTTGTATGCTATGCACGCAAGAGATGTTCAGCTGCTTCTGGGATGCCGTGATAATGCAGTTTCAGATCATCGAGCACACCAGCATCGTCCAGTACATTCGTGAGCATCTTCTGTCGTGGTCCGCTGAGCGCCAGCTGTGGTTCGCCGATTGGCAGGCAGGGCTATGTGTGTCCAACATGGCCGCGTCGGAGACACCGCTGACGGTGTTCCAGAGCTTGGAGCGCACCAACGGCGTGTTGAAAAGCGCGTTACCCTCTGGCTACCATTTCTGGAAGCTCTCGGACATTTCGCCACGGGTGGAAACGAGTTTGCGCTCAGTCTTCCTGAAGAGGGGCTGGGTAAGTGCTGGCGCAGAGGAAGTGTTGCCCGGCGCTTTGTCGGCGTGTGGGCTTCGCAAGACCGCCAATGCTCCTGTGTTCTTGCACGAGAGCGGGGTGGCGCAGACCGACCGTCTCCTCTTCCAGGAAGATGCTCAACAAAAAGTGCCACCAGCGTCAAAATACCTGGAGCACGCCCCGGCATGCTTCGCAGCCTCTACGGTGGACATGGAAGTCAACGGGCAAAAAGTGCAGAGGGTGTACACCATGTGCTCGACCTCAGCTGTGACAGCCATGGATGCTGAGACGGGCAGGGCTTTTGCGAAGCTTTTCACTTGCCCGACAAGGCAAGCCTACGCGCAGCCATGGATGCCTTGCAGTTGTACAAGCCTGACCCGTCTTACCCAAATGGGGTGAGGTGCAGTATAGCGAGAGTGCGGAACACGATGAGTTCCCTATGCTGCGTTTTCGTATTGATTTCTCGCACTGTGTGCTCATGCTTTTTGCATGTGCGCCTTGGCTGCAGTAGTCTTCAATGGTGGGGATGCTTTTTCCTGGAGAGACAGCAGTGTTCTGAGAAGGCAGCTTTGTGCCGCCGGAGCTGCCAAAGTGCTTTTCCTTTACCTTTACCCGACTTGTACGCAAAAATTGGAACTTCCGAGCCGGATCTGCCAAATGGCAGTCTCTTTGCTACAATTGTCAGAAGTTGCAACTCCTGGGCCGGAGCTGCCAAAGTGCTTTTTTAATTCTACACTTGTGCTGAAAAGTTACAACTGCCGAGCCAGAGCTGTCAAAGTGTAATGCCTTTACTACACTAGTCGGCTGTAATGTCGCGACTTGCGAGCCGGAGCTGCCAAAGTGTATTTCTTCCACTTCACTTGTGCTGGAAAGTTGTGGCTACCGACGCGGATGCCCAAGTGTACTTCCTCTACTGCACTATTGCCTGAGCTGTCAATCTCGCACCGAAAAGTCGCAACTTTCGGGCCGGAGCTGCCAAAGCGTATCTCTCCCCGACTACTGTTGTGCTTAAAAGTTGCGATTTCCGGGCCGGAGCTGCTTAAGTGTGTTTCTTTTTCGACACATGTGCTGAAAAGTTACCTTCCGAGTTTGTCTGTCATACTTGTGCTGAAAAGTTGGGACGTTCCGGCCGGAGCTGCCACCGTGTATTTCCTTGTCTGCACCTGTGCTGAAAAGTTGCAGAGTGCACTTGCCTTGCTACACTTGCGCTCATACGGATTTAAAGTTTGTTTCATGTTGCCCACACAATGGGGAAAGTGACTCGTGGTCCTTTGGGGGTGAGGAGTATCGATCAACGCCCCATTTGCTGAAAAGAATGCGCCAATGTGCCGGTGTCTCTTGGAACCCATCACTGGCCATATGTTGGTGACATTTTTTGGGGGCGCTGAGGTCTGCTGGGCTGCATTCCTCACACACGCTTTCTCCAAAGACACTCAGCCACGCTTGCTCGCGGTTCAACACAGGACACAGCCATTCTACTAGACTCTTGCAAAGGGTCTGCTTTGGTTCCTGCTGCTTGCTGAAACTGAGCCCGCCGCAAGAACATTGTGCCGTTGCCGTTCCTTCAACTTTTGGATTTGGGGGCATCGAAGGGTAGCAACATAAACGGGTCCAGTTTACCACCCAAACTGACTGTAGCCGTCAAGACGCCCAACCAGTGCAGATATCTGAATTCCAGCTCACAGATCTGAATTCGAATGGCGGACTCCTTCCCAGGTCCTCTCACCAAGCGGCCCTCAGAACAGAAAAAGAGGGTAGCGTGCGCAAGCGGTTGCGAGCGAGATACGCAATATATCAAATATGTATTCTATCAATACGTGTTTTTTTGTGCGTTGCCGCTAGGCCCCTTTGTTGCATGTTTGCTCTTATTTCCGCCATTCTGTTCGCGTCCTTGTGAGGCGAGCCGCGCGTAATGTTGCCCACACAGAGGAGATGTATTTCGACCGCATAGGCTGGCGCAAAGTGGCGCACAATCGTGACCTTGTGAAATCTCGAAACGCATCTCGACTTCGCAGGCGGCAATGTAGAGGGCTGGACGAGACGCGCCGCGGAGCCGCCAAATTGTATTCCTGAAAACCTGCAACTGTCGAGCGAGGCGAGGATGCCGACTGCCGAGCCAGAGCTGCCAAATTGCATTTCCTTTCCTAGATTTCTGCGGCTGCCTAAGTGTACTTCCCGTATTACACATATATTGAACAGTTGACTTCAAAGCCAAAGCTTCCACAGAGAGTTTTGTGTTATCTGTAATGAAAAGTTGCGACTTCTTGGCCGGAGCTGCCAAAGTGTACTTTCTGCGCTGAAGAGTTGCGACTTCCGGGCTGCCGAAGCGCACTCTGTTACCGCAACTTTGAAAAGTTGTGGCTTCCGAGTCCGAGAGCCAAAGTGTATTTCCTGTACTGATGAAAAAATGTGACGTTCGTGTCAGAGGTGTTAAAGTGAAGTTCCTTTACTACACTTATTCTGCAAAGTTGCGACTTGCGGGCCGGAGCTGTCAAAGTGCTGCGCTGGCGCTGAGAAGCCCGGACCTGCAAAGTGGGCCTTCTTTACCGCACTTATGCGCTGAGGAGTGAGTTGCAACGGGCCGGATCTGCCCACGTGTAAATCCTCTCCTGCACTTGTGCTGAAAACTTGCGAATTCTGAGCCTGAGCTGCCAAAGTGCGTTCTTTTCGTTACACGTGTACTGAAAAGTCGCGACTCCCGTCCAATGTGTATCTTCTTTGTTGCGACACCCTGCCTCCCTACTACGTTGGCGCTGAAAAGTTGCGGCCTCCGGCCGGAACTGCCAAAGTGTACTTCCTTTACTACACTTGCGACTTCCGAGCCGGAGCTGTCAAAGCGTGCTTGCTGCGCGCAGAGGTCGAGGCATCACCTGCTGAGGATATCCCTCACTTACTCAATAGAGTCATTGCAGGTAAGTCTGGGTGTCTGTTTGTTGTTTCGCCGTCCGAGGAAGTGTGGATGTTGCCCACATACTGGCTTCGTGCGATGGATGGAGGGAGATCGCTCTATCAGCTTAGCCCCGCTGTCAAGCTTTACCGTCAAAGACGCGCCGCAGAGTCTGGCAGAGGCGGATCTTCGCGCCCGCTCCACCGCAGGCCGCAAGGTTGGTTTGCCGAAAGCTTCAGCGTGGAGCACCCTGCAGCATATCATTGAAAAGGCGCGGCGCTGCAAGAAAGCTGCAGATTCGAAGAAGAGCCAG